AGGCAAAGAAGTGATGCCTGGTTGGAAAAATGTTGTCCCATTTAAGTGTGTATATATCAAAAGGTACACACACAAAAAAGTGCATGCTGATTATTCATCATACATAAAAAAAAGTGATTTAAAAGGACAATGGAAATGAAAAATGATGTAAAGTGTAAGTTAGAGTCCTGAGCTTCTGGTAGCATTGCCCTTTAATACACAAAATAACACACACTCAAATATTTCATTAGGATGCAAGAACGCCCACCCACAGCCCATTTTCACTGGTAATGCTGTAGAGCAGCTGACATGGAAAATTATACAATGACCGCATGTGATCTGTTCCTAGAGCAATGGATGCTGGGAAAAGGAGCATTGGTTAAATGGATATGGCAGAAGACACCAATGAGACGAAAAGCCTATTCTTACCTCTGGTAATCCCTGGTTTACATCCTGAGAAAATGCAGTAGAAGGAAAGCGCTTGTTAGTACCCATGTTCCCAATGCAATTTAAACGCACACTAGCTAAAATGAAAAATTCCACAAAACAGCTAAATCTGGAAGCCTACAACGTTGTGCACTGTTACAAACCCAAGCAATAGACTACATATGTAGTGACTGAAATGAGTACAGCATGTCTCTGTTACTCTGCAGGTGCCTGATGCTAGACTCTTATCCAACTCTATGGACTTTAGCAAGGAACTGACATTGTATACCTGAATTCAAGACATTATTTTCATATGCTAAAATAACACAAATCAGTGCTTAAAAACACCTTTAAAGCCCAAATGAACCCACAAAATGTATTACTATAAAGCAGCCATGCTCTAAATAAGTAATACATCTGGTCTCTTACTTTTTAAAAGGAGAACTATGGGGTCAGGGCTTTTCCCCATAGTTCTCCTTAGGGTAACGGGAGGACACAAACTAGCGTCCTCCCGTTACCCTAAGCTCAGTATACCGCGAGCTACAGCTCGCGGTATACTGAAGCGCCGGAGCGGATCCCGACATCGATGTCGGGATCCGCCCAGCTGCGTGAGCGACAGCTAGCTCTGCCTGTCTAGAGGCAGAGCCAGCTGTACCCGCCCCCTCCCCCGTCCGTTCCGCCAGTCAGTGCTGGCGGATCGGAACGGGTAGGGGGGAATCCAGCCCCTCCCCCTGTCACGGAAGAGAGCCGTGACAGGATCGAGAGGTGAGCGAACGCCGGTATCTGTTCGCTCACCTCCCGATCTACTGAGCCGACCTGTGACAGTCTCATTGTCACAGGTCGGCTGGAACTATGAGGTGAGTGGAAATCACTCATCTCCTTTAACTGGTAAGTTCTGTAGCAAGGGTTAAAACACACTGAGGGAAATTTATCAAAACTGGAGCAGACAAAATCTGGAGCAGATTTGCACTGCAACCAATCAGCTTCTCATTTTCAAATCTTACCCGAGAAAACTGGAGAGCTGCTGATTGGTTGCCACTGGCAACTGCTCCACATTCTGTCTGCTCCAGTTATGACAAATTCCCCCCACTGTGTTGCAGCAATCTAGAGAGTCAGTCTCCTGCATTTTGACACAACCCCTTCCTGAACAGTGGATTAACAAACAGTTCTGCTCAGCCTGCAAGAGTGATGTATTGTCCGCGGAATTCTGGACTGCGGAAGAGTCAGACTGCCGCTTTCAGTGAGAGGGTATTTTAAACCGTGATATTATGGTAAAAAAAAAAAAAAAAAAAAAAAATAAGATTTGCTATATGCATTACAGTAATAAATTGTGAGGGTTCAATTGGGCTTTAAAAACAAAATAAAATATAGTATCCAAAAATGAAATGTACGCACAAACAGTGTAATTATGCCGCATTAAAAACTGAAGATAAATCAACCTACTTTTGTGTATGTTTATTTCTTGTACTTGTTACTTTAAAGACAGCACAACCAATGACAAGGGCAGACTTAAAGCAGAACCCCACTATTCTTCTAAGTTCTGTGGTTAGCGTGGAGCAAGGTTCTATCCTCGGCTTGGTCTACACCACTCACCCCACAACACTGTCCTAGTCATAACATGTGGCCAAAACTTCTGGATTCCAATCTGCATTCTCTACATAAGATCCTAAGGAGCACCCACTACAGTGCTGGTAACACAGAAACACTGTAGCATGCAGGAGTCTCCTTAGAAATATATTAAGAAGACACCCCAGACAGCAAAGCCAGTATGTTCATCTCACAGCCACCTGCTGGCTGTCTTGGCCACACACTTGGGTGGGAGTAAACACCCGACCAGGGTGATGTAAAGGCCCTACTCCTTGCAACCAAAAAAAAAAAAGCACAGCAAGCTGCATCTGAGACAACTAACTGCCAGCAGCAGCCAACCAGGTTCTTACTTTGACATAAAGAACCATCAATGAATTAAGGCCTTGGTATTTAATTTTGACCAAAATGAATGCCCTGTAAGTGTCCTTCCAAATAAATGAGGAAGCAGGAGTACTGCAAACAAAGAATGCCTCTTCTCCAAATATTCACAGATAAGGGCACTCAACTTGTAAAAGTAGAAAATAAGTAATCTACATAAGAGCCACGGCACTTACCGCACCATGCATTCGTTGCTGCATCCAATCCACATATTCTTTCTGAATATTAATAAAGTCCTGTATTTCATGAATGTAGAACTTATCATAGGGGATAATCTGTGCTGACTTCTCATTCACCTAAAAAAAAAAGAGAACAGCATACAATCAACATATGGAATATTATTGGTATCCTTTGGGGCAGGAATGGTTAGTCTTCAGTGCAGAGGATCATGAGGTAGCAGAGGTGAGTATGCAGACAAGAACTTACATTTACATTAGGCAGATTTAAAGGGTTACAGGGATGTTCAGTGTTGGGGGTCTTACTCTTTAGGATAGGACATTGTAATGTGCAACATGGGTGACAATAATCTGAAACTGTGCATGCTGTGCTTTCAGTGATTCTCATATGTAAATGTTTGGGATGCACCGATACAAGCATCGGTATCGGCGGCGATACCGAGTACTCGTACAAATACTCCGATACAAAAAACGAGTACCTGTGCCGCATCCGCCATCTTCAGGGACCCGAAACCGCAGCACACAGGACCTCCATCGCGTCTTCAATGAAACAAGATGGCCGCGAACTCCTCCTCCAAATCCTCAGTCATCTACTCCATTCTGACCTCCTCTCCCACTGATTGGCCGATTGGATGATAGACAGGCTTCCTCACCAGTCAGGAGTGACTGGTGAGGAAGCCTGTCATCATACTGGAACTATGAGGTGAGTGGAAATCACTCATCTCCTTTAACTGGTAAGTTCTGTAGCAAGGGTTAAAACACACTGAGGGAAATTTATCAAAACTGGAGCAGACAAAATCTGGAGCAGATTTGCACTGCAACCAATCAGCTTCTCATTTTCAAATCTTACCCGAGAAAACTGGAGAGCTGCTGATTGGTTGCCACTGGCAACTGCTCCACATTCTGTCTGCTCCAGTTATGACAAATTCCCCCCACTGTGTTGCAGCAATCTAGAGAGTCAGTCTCCTGCATTTTGACACAACCCCTTCCTGAACAGTGGATTAACAAACAGTTCTGCTCAGCCTGCAAGAGTGATGTATTGTCCGCGGAATTCTGGACTGCGGAAGAGTCAGACTGCCGCTTTCAGTGAGAGGGTATTTTAAACCGTGATATTATGGTAAAAAAAAAAAAAAAAAAAAAGATAAGATTTGCTATATGCATTACAGTAATAAATTGTGAGGGTTCAATTGGGCTTTAAAAACAAAATAAAATATAGTATCCAAAAATGAAATGTACGCACAAACAGTGTAATTATGCCGCATTAAAAACTGAAGATAAATCAACCTACTTTTGTGTATGTTTATTTCTTGTACTTGTTACTTTAAAGACAGCACAACCAATGACAAGGGCAGACTTAAAGCAGAACCCCACTATTCTTCTAAGTTCTGTGGTTAGCGTGGAGCAAGGTTCTATCCTCGGCTTGGTCTACACCACTCACCCCACAACACTGTCCTAGTCATAACATGTGGCCAAAACTTCTGGATTCCAATCTGCATTCTCTACATAAGATCCTAAGGAGCACCCACTACAGTGCTGGTAACACAGAAACACTGTAGCATGCAGGAGTCTCCTTAGAAATATATTAAGAAGACACCCCAGACAGCAAAGCCAGTATGTTCATCTCACAGCCACCTGCTGGCTGTCTTGGCCACACACTTGGGTGGGAGTAAACACCCGACCAGGGTGATGTAAAGGCCCTACTCCTTGCAACCAAAAAAAAAAAAGCACAGCAAGCTGCATCTGAGACAACTAACTGCCAGCAGCAGCCAACCAGGTTCTTACTTTGACATAAAGAACCATCAATGAATTAAGGCCTTGGTATTTAATTTTGACCAAAATGAATGCCCTGTAAGTGTCCTTCCAAATAAATGAGGAAGCAGGAGTACTGCAAACAAAGAATGCCTCTTCTCCAAATATTCACAGATAAGGGCACTCAACTTGTAAAAGTAGAAAATAAGTAATCTACATAAGAGCCACGGCACTTACCGCACCATGCATTCGTTGCTGCATCCAATCCACATATTCTTTCTGAATATTAATAAAGTCCTGTATTTCATGAATGTAGAACTTATCATAGGGGATAATCTGTGCTGACTTCTCATTCACCTAAAAAAAAAAGAGAACAGCATACAATCAACATATGGAATATTATTGGTATCCTTTGGGGCAGGAATGGTTAGTCTTCAGTGCAGAGGATCATGAGGTAGCAGAGGTGAGTATGCAGACAAGAACTTACATTTACATTAGGCAGATTTAAAGGGTTACAGGGATGTTCAGTGTTGGGGGTCTTACTCTTTAGGATAGGACATTGTAATGTGCAACATGGGTGACAATAATCTGAAACTGTGCATGCTGTGCTTTCAGTGATTCTCATATGTAAATGTTTGGGATGCACCGATACAAGCATCGGTATCGGCGGCGATACCGAGTACTCGTACAAATACTCCGATACAAAAAACGAGTACCTGTGCCGCATCCGCCATCTTCAGGGACCCGAAACCGCAGCACACAGGACCTCCATCGCGTCTTCAATGAAACAAGATGGCCGCGAACTCCTCCTCCAAATCCTCAGTCATCTACTCCATTCTGACCTCCTCTCCCACTGATTGGCCGATTGGATGATAGACAGGCTTCCTCACCAGTCAGGAGTGACTGGTGAGGAAGCCTGTCATCATCCAAATCGGCCAATCAGTGGGAGAAGAGGTCAGAATGGAGCAGATGACTAGGCTGTGACACGGAGTGGCTGAAGCAGACGGAGAAGACGACACAGCAGGTTAGTACTGCAGCACCATATATACCAAAAAGATAAACCAGCTAACAAGAGTGGCTAATTTTAAAAAGGGTTAACAGAGGATCGGGACAAGTATTCCAATTACAAAAAGAGTTTATTAGATAAAATATCAGTTTTGGACATAAACATCATATCACTAACTGGTTTTAAAAAAAAACAAAAAAACTTGACATACAATTATAAATCTTCAGGTATGCAGATCTGTTTGTATAATGTGCTCTCATTCATATATGCTAATCAGCTGAAACCATGTGGGAATGAAACTGATTTTTTAAGAAGGTGCTACTATGTAACTTCCTTGTTTCTCCCACTGGAGATTAATACGTGTATTTCAGATACCAGCGGACACCAAAGGATAATACGTTATATGGAACGTATTATCCTTTGGTGTCAGCTGATTAGCATATATGAATGAGAGCACATTATAAAAACAGATCTGCATACCTGAAGATTTATAATTGTATGTCATGCTTTTTTGTTTTTTTTAAAACCAGTTAGTGATATGATATTTATGTCCAAAACTGATATTTTATCTAATAAACTCTTTTTGTAATTGGAATACTTGTCCCGATCCTCTGTTAACCCTTTTTAAACCAGCCACTCTTGTTAGCTGGTTTATCTTTTTGGTATATAGGGTTCATTTTGGTTACGGATCTGGTTGACAAAAATGAGATAAAGGGTAATTTAAATGGTTCGGATCTCCAGGCAGAAACAAAAGTTGTTTTCTATTAGTACTGCAGCACCGCATGGGGCCTGGGCACAAAAATGCTGTTTAACTGCATATAATATGTAGATATTGCTAAACGAAGGCTTGTATCCCCCTAGTGGGGAAAATATATGAGCACATGTCCAGACTCCAGAACACTGTAAAAAATGTATAATATAAAGCCAGGTAGGCAGAATTGGATATGGCTGTGCCACACTATACAATACAGTGTTCTGGAGTCTGGGACATGTGCTCATCTATTTTCCCCACTATGGGGATCCAAGCCTTAGTTAGCAATGGCATGATAACTATTCATTTCATGTTCTTCATAATATGAAGAAACTGACCTAAAATCATTATTTTGTATTGCTTTAGAAAAAAATGTGACCTGCCCCTTTAAGAACAAGTATCAGTAATTGGTATCGGTGAGTACTTGAAAAAAAGTATCGGTACTCGTACTCGATCTTAAAAAAATGGTATCGGTGCATCCCTAGTAAATGTAGATGTGTATTTTGCCTTTACTATATGTTACACGACAACATATCTACTTTATTATCTAAATATATATGCCCACACATACCCTATGTAGAATCTCAAGAATTTTGAAGGCTGTATTCAGAAAAGTGTTGAAAAGTATTCTTTCAGCAAATAGGATTCCATTTTTTGCTAGTTTCAGGAGATGTAACACAACATCTTTAAAGAGCTGTACTAGCCGCATGAATTCGGAGGGTTCGAGTACAGACCACCAATTTTCTGTCAACAGAAACAATACACATTACAAAGTTGACAGCACAAATAACTACATTTCAGAATGAAGAATTCTTATAATGACAATTATGAGCAACCATGCAGTGTACAGGCACCATGGGGGTTTGACTATAAAGGTGAACACTCCAACATCTCATAAGCAATCCACTGAACACAATCTAAACGCACTACACATTTCCTACCCTTCTGCCGGACCATCTCTTGAAAAGCCGTCGCTTCACTTCTCACCATTCTCTGCACGTAGTCGACCAGTCAAATGGAAAGAATACCTATTTTCCCCTCTGCTTGCTGGCTTGTACTTCCTGCAGTGACATATGGACCAGCAGGAGAAACCACAGCGAGTGATAGGGGAGCAGGTTATTTAAACACGTATGCAAATAACCAGGTAAATATGCAATGAGTGAAAACTTGCAGGACGGTGAGCAGTAAATTGTGCCATCTTTTCAAGAAATGGCCTGTCCTAAAAGTAAATATATACAGTCTTTCTTTTGCAGGTATGTATTACCATGCGCTTACAGGCTCACTTTCAATATAGAGAGAGCTCGTCAATCCATCACACAACAGTGGCTGAAAAGCTTCTGACTTTTCTACACTGATGTTACATGGATGAAGCTGGATCTAGTGACACATTTTCAGTGGCAATGCAGAGTCATCCTGGAGAGCCTTTGACTTCCATCTGTGAAATTGCTTCCTTGCTGGCCTCAAGCACTGCCAAAGCAATCGCACAGAAGCTCTGAGATTCAGACACTTGTGAATTGTCATCAATGTCAAGATTGCCTGTGTGGCATCAGCCTTAGGACATCAGAAGGTGGGTGGTGGTGTGAGAAAGGGCTACTTAAAAGAAAGCGTTTTCTGAGTTAATTTCTTGTACTTGCCCAAATGCTCCGATACCTTCCCCGATACCGGAAACTTCCGGTCAGAGGAAAATTTCCTCAGACCGGCAGTGCCATAGGGGAACATGGAGCTAGCTTCCTGGGCAATCAGGATGCCGGGTCATTACTCGACAGCCAGCTTCCGGGTGTTGAGTAAAGACCTTTCTCCAGGCGTCCTGATTGGCCGGGAAGCCGGCTCCATGCGGATTGGCTGGAAAGCTGGCTTCCCAGCCACTCAGCATCGAGCCAGCCGAACAGCTGGCTCCTTGCTGATTGGCTGGGAAGACTGCTTCCTGTCCAATTAGCATGGAGTCGGGTTCCCAGCCAATCAGGATGCCGGGAGGTGGGTCATTATTTGCCGCCCAGCTTCCTGATTGGCCAGAAAGCCAGCTCAATGCTAACTGGCTGGGAAGCCGGCTTCCCAGCCGATCGAGCTGGCCAAACATGGAGCCGGCTTCCCGGGCAATCAGGAAGCCGAGCAGCATGTCATTACATGCTGGCCGGCTTTCTGGTTGCCCACGAAGGCGGCTCCATGCCAGCAGAAAGCAAAGCAAAATATCGGTACTCGATAAACCGGTATCAGTGCATCCTTACTAAAGACAGTCAACAAACTAGCATTTTAAAATGAAAATCAGCAGTGATACCCTACATATTTCACTCAGAAGTAGAAGTCATCAAATCCCCCACTCTACAAGTCTTTTTTTCACCCATAAAAATGGCACTGTGTGTGACATCTGCGACACTCACCTAGAATTTTCAGTGGCGATTTCTTAAGGCTGATAATTGCTGTCCCAAATGGCACTGCTAAAGAGAAAAAATTGTTGGGATCTGTCATCAGAGGACACTCTGGCAACGTGAGGTACAATCTCAAAGCTTCAATGTCAGGAGGTGAACTTGTTAGGCTTGGTATAAGATTTTTTTCTAAACTGGCAGCCACCTGAATGGTAAAAGAGAGCAAAAATAAGCTTCATAAAATGAACAACAAAGTCGGTGCTCAAAAATTTACTGGCAGATTTTCAAGACTGTAGATAACAGTCTCCAAATAAATCCTTTATCTGCATTTGTCATTAACTGTGATAGCCTTTCCAAGGTTGCCTAGTTCAGGCATTGCTAAAACTGAGCAATAAACAAATTTGTGGGACTGATGGAACGCACAACGACATGTAATATTTCCAATAACTACATTTTCCTTTTGAATTTCTTTTTGCAGCTGAAAAATACAGAAGATTTATTGTTTAGCTAACCTTCTCCTATATCAGCTATTACATAGTGATCACATGCAGGTTGGAGGCTTCATTACAAAAATTATTGCCTTCAACCTGAAGAAGGGCACTGCCACCTTCTGGCTGCAGTGTTCATCTGCAATGCCATATCTTAATGCAGTAGTTATCAGTTTACAGAATATAATCAAATAATACAATTATATTATTATTATACAGGATTTATATAGCGCCAACAGTTTGTGCAGAGCTTTACAATATAAGGAAGACATTACAATCGCAATACACTTCAAGACAAGATGTAATGGAGGGCCCTGCCCGTGAGGGCTCACAATCTAAGATACACATATACTGTAAATATATAATGCATTTGTCTGAATATAATAAGAAAACAGAAATTAAAACAAATACAAAACTCCTGCTTACCTTTTTGCAGGGAGGAGGCTGTAAGGAGGCAGATCGATCCCCGATGCTCTAGTTGTGATTAGTGAGGTCTGCTGCAGACCTCACTAATACATCCTTTCGACCGAAGCTCAGAACTTAGCTCCAGCCGAAAAGATCTCAGTGCTGGAGGTAACAGTAGGAGCAACTCTGCCGTCTGCAACCGACAAAGATGCAGAGCGTGTAGCTGCTCCCACAAGCCAGGTACGCGGCCACTGCGTACCCGACTTGTCAGCTGGCTGCGGGACACACAGTACCGGCTCGCGGGCAATTGGCTCGCGGGCCGGTACGTTGAGACCGCTGCACTAATAGTTTGTAAGTTAGCTTAGTGTGTTTACACAATCCACTATGCCATTTGTTTGAATCTAACCTGTTGTACGGTTTGTTGGTTTGCTGAATCCAGCAGCTTGTGAAAGAGAAGCCTTGCAGAATTCATATCTATCCCTGAGAATTTAGCACCCGTTCTATAATGATCATTATTGCTGCAAAAGAAAATGGTGTAAGTCACAGAAAAACATAACAAGGCAAGTAACACAAAAAGACAATATGGATCAACAGCTAGTACTTGGATTTCAGTGAACCATACTCGGCATAACATGAATTTGACTTGTTGCTTTGGGTTCCTGCACTTTGCACACTGCTGTATTAATGTGGACCTATCAAAAAGTTATACAACCTATACATACTACTCAATTCTTCTATTAATTATCTTAACAAAAATGGAAAACGTGCAAGATTTAAGAAATACAGTAAATCCCTAATTGCCCCTTCCTCTGATGCTTGGCATTCCGTGTTTTTTATTGAAAACCAGCCTGCAACAATCAACCTGTTGATGGACGTTCCATTTAAATGAATGAAATTTAGGCTGTACATGCAGTGGGGACAAGGTGCAGGACTATAAAGATTCTCAACAGTGGCTGCGCAGCGCTGGGCAGGCCAAAAAGCAAAGAACAACAAAGTGGCAGATGAACTAATAGCAAATGTAGAACCCGTCTTCCATCTTCAAATGACCGGGTTGTTTGTGGGTTAAAATAGGCCTAAATCACAAAGGCTTTAGGTTGTATAAGAGCTTTGGCTCTTTGTAAAGCTTTCGGCGACCTTCGAGCAGCTTTCTTGAAGCCTTTAAAGCACCCTTCAGCTCGAGGTTGGGAATGGTAACACAGATCTTAATGGGAGTGCGGACTGTCGCTTTAAACAAGCTGATTTCAATAAGCTTCAGCACAGCTTGAAGCTTGTTAAAGCCTGCTAGCAGCTTGTTAAATTGACAGTCAGCGCTCCCAATAAGATCCAAGTGTAACATTCCCAAACTGGAGCTGAATTGCGCTTTACAAACTCCAACAAAAACTTGCAGAAAGCTCTGCAAATGCTTGCCACTCACCTTGCTCTTATACAAGCCGAAGCCTGTGTGAACTAGGCCTTACATAGATATTCACCATAATCATTGTTGGCCAGCCCCTGTAGTGATGTCAGGGGTGGCAAAAATAATTGTATTTTAATGCCAGATGTTTCTTTTTTTTTTTGTTTAATATGTTTTTATTGCACTTAAATTCAATATAAATTTACATAATACATTTTATAGAAAAAAAAAAAAGAAAAAAAAGAATATATATAAGAAAAGAAAAAAGACCCAATGGGATAACATGTCTATCCCTCACATTTACTCCTACCATCCAATTCTACTTCCACTTTTCACCATCCTAAGACCCTTTCTTTCAGACCCGCCTCTGGAGGAATAATAGATGGACAGGCTCTATACACCTCCTGTGCCAATTCTCCCCTCAACCTGAATCCTTATCACCCTTTCTCCACCTCCCTCCCCACCCCATTTCCTGACTTCCCCTCCCTACTCTCTAATGACTTTCCCTCATGTAAAGAAAAAAAAAGATGTTTCTTTTTGAATATTTCCAACTTCATTTTCTCTTCTTTAAACCACCCAGTTTTAAATTTTTAAATCCAAGCTGTAACACAAGCAATGTAATACACATTTTTTTAATAATATACAGAATAAGCAACTTTCAAGATGATTAAACAAGTTAGACCTTTAAACAGGTGAAATGAGACATGCATGGCATTTACCTGGTAGACAAAAAGCTTCCATTCAGGCAGGCAGCAGATGAAAACACTTTGTCGATTTCACTGTCAAAACAAAATGGCACTAAAAATAAAATAAAAATCACAAGAAATATCTTAAAAAATTAAATAATGAAAGCCTCAGGTTCCGGAGTTACTTTTTTAAAATCATTGCCAAGACGTAGCACCTAAGTGACTAGTTGTCTAAGACCCCGTTCACATGTAGCGACATACCTTTGCAGCGGCCAGGATAGCGCGACTTTCGGGGCGACGTTCCAGCCACGGTAGCGCGAACTTCTCCGTCGGGCTCCATAGAAAAAAAGCAAAATCGCGCAAAATCCGCCGAAAAAAGGGTCCGGTAGAAGCGACTTGCGACCGCGACATGGAGTTAAGACAGCTCCATTGAAAAGGATTGGCTGGCGACTTCTCGCGATATCGCGGCGGAAATCGCGCGATACGTCGCTACATGTGAACGGGGCCTAATGAGAGGGACAGACATGACATAGGTGATACAACATTGGCAGAGAAAAGATTGAGCTATTTGTGGACATGTAGAAAGTTTAACACATACTTAACCACGTTAACAGTGTTCACAGACAAAAATCTTACTTTACTATGTCTGGTGGAAGCCTTCCAGATGAGAAATTCAGCCACCTCTGGATGAGCTCTTCATTTATGGTCCATATGCACCTGGAATGGTTACAGATTCTGAAGTCATCTGGAGGAAGGCAGTTCTAGAAATGAGAAACTTCATCATTTAATACAAGTGACAATTTGTAGAAAGCAGAATCATGCCCTTGTAAACTGACCCCAGACTTGGGTGACCACGTAATATGAAATCCAAAGAACACAAGCAAATATTTTCTATAAATTCAAAACATGATTGGGCTCCTCCCATTAGGATCACCGAGTGCGATAAATAGTCCTAACATCAACATAACTGGAAGTATATAGACCACTCACCAGATCCTGATAACATATGCCTAGTGGAGATCAAAAAAGCAGTCTCTAATATACAGTTTGCTTTGATAAAGTATACACTGAGTGGCCAGATTATTATGACCACATGACATTTGTAGAGGGCCAGACCATTATAAATAGGGAAGCAGGTTGTTTACCACGACAGTAGAAGTGATTTTTTTCTGAAGATATGGGTAAACAACGCGATTTAACAGCCTTTGAATGTGGGATGATTGCTGGCGCTCGGAGCCATGGAGCGAGTATCAGCAAAACAGCAGAATTCGTTAAATGTTCAAGAGCAGCTGTTGTTAAAGTGTTTAAAGACTGGACTGTCAGCCGAAAATCTGGGTCTGAACGTGCGAATTGTGGCCGTCAGCGACTAGTCAATGTTAGGGCAAAACGGAGAGTGGCAAGACTGGTACAAGACAACAGAAGGGCAACAGTGCATCAAATGACTTCAGAACTTATTCAGGGATCCTCTCAAATGATCTCTGAACGCACTGTTCGCCGTACACTGCATCGTATGGGATATGAAAGTCGAAGGCCTGTTCGAACACCTTTGCTGTCTGCAGTAAACAAGATAAAACGTCTCCAATTCGCACAGGAACACAAGGATTGGACAGTCGAGCATTGGAAAAAAGTAATGTGGTCCAATAAATCATGTTTCCAGTTGCATCATGCAGATGGCAGTGTAAGAATTTGGCGGGAACAGCATGAAAGCATGCACCCCACATGCATGAGTACAACCCTTCAAGCTGGTGGGGGCAGTGTTATGGTTTGGGGCATGTTTTCCTGGCATGATTTGGGCCCTTTAATTCATGTGGAACAACGTCTGAATAGCACAACATACCAAAGTATCGTTGTTGATCAAGTTCATCCTATCATGTTGATGGTGTATCCCAATGGAGATGGCTTCTTCCAACAAGACAATGCGCCATGCCACGGTGCTCGTAAGAACATGAGGGAGAATTTACCTTTACCTTAGGTGGCCCCCACAATCACCAGATCTCAATCCAATTGAGCATTTGTGGGACGAAGTTGAAAGAGCCATCAGGCAGCTGGTTCCACAACCATCAAATCTCACAGAACTGGACAGTGCTATTCATCAGGCATGGTGTCCGATTCCTCGCATCACCTTTCAACATCTCGTTGAGTCAATGCCAAGAAGAATCGCCGCAGTATTGAAGGCAAAAGGTGGCCCAACGAAGTACTGATGGGGTGGTCATAATAATCTGGCCACTCAGTGTATAAACACCAAAGAGGATATGCAGAGCTCTGTGATAAACACTTGCAGCTCATCCACTCACTCACTCATCTGCAGACCCCAGAGGCCCAGCCTGCCAAGCAGAATATCCCTCTGCACAGATACTGTACGTCAGATGGTAAAAAGGTTTTGGGTTAATAACTAGAGATCAAATAAGAATCCAGTAAGGGATACACAGTACCTAGAAAAAAGACTAAATGGCTTTGAAGACTGGGTCCCTCCAACCAGCAGGTATAACTAAGACATAGAGCAGACACTGAGAAGACCCATTCTAGTTAGACATCGAAGGCGTTATCTTGTAAGCACATCTGCACCTGATCTTGTTATTTAGCCCTTAAAAGTAGATGTGATGGCTAAACTTATGGTTGGGCAAACTGAATAATGTCATCTAGGAGTTTGTTTTAGTAAAGTGGGTGATAATTCAGAATTATGTGTGATCTCTTTTTATTATGAGATTTAGGTCTAATCTCTTTTTATTAGGTTCAAGAAAAGTACAATTCTGCTTAACGCCACAGCAGCAACACAAAGCTAATGTGCCATAAGCAAGATATAACATGTCCTTCTTATTTCAAATAACCAACTAAGGAAGCAACATCAGTTTTGTGTTTTGTTATTTAAGAATACCTTTATATGAAAATAATGTGCAAAACTTTGGTCTCCACCAGAGTACATCTTCTTCACACAGTAATACCCTTTCACATCTAAAACATAAAAACAAGGCAATTAGCCAGGAGGAAAACATACAGCAAAATGATCATCAAATATGTAGCTTACCCTCAGAGTGCTGGGAGTAATCACTATGGGATAGTAAGTTTCCCTTTACAGGGAATGGACTTTTTCTATTGCACGTAGACCCAGTCCCTAATTGTCCATTGCCTCCTAATCCAAAAGAGTAGATGCGCCCGGATGAAGGAACAAATGCTAACGTGTGTTGTCTTTGGTGGGGAGGGAGAAAAGAGGACACCGTTACATTGGACTCTTCAGGACAACATTTAAAGCAGATCTAACAATTAAAAAAATATTCTGCAATCCATCTATCACACCAAGCTAAAAAACCAGACTGAAAATCATTTCAGAAAAAAGCCACTCTGTATGGCTGTAGTATATCGTGCACATTCTGTGCAGGGATGAGCTTTCTCTACCTTGGATGGCATTACCTCTGTGCAGCCAACACATGAGAGAAAGAAGGTGCTGCCACTGCAAAGCCTGGATCACTGGATTGCATGCCAAGTGCCACCCTGTATGCTAATCATAAAATATATGTTTAAATAACATTGGGACAGGGAGACAGTTCTCCACCGCATATAAGTAGAGCAATATGGAGATGATCTAGGGATTCCTTTCCTTGGTCCTGGTAGTTGAAAAAAGTGGAAATGGAGCAAAAGGAAGGAGAGTCTGTACTGCTTAGGGAAGGGAACATTGACATGAAGCTGTCAAGAGTTAGACCTCTGAAAATGTTGGTCACACAGCCTCATGTTAAGACAACATTCTTGTAATGCAGAGGTTGTACATTTAAATCCTGCCTAAGAAATGTTTCTAGTGTGTAGCTATTAGTCTGGCAACTGACGTATGTACAGGAGGCACCCTTATAATATTCATTATAAACCCAGCAATACCATTCCAGGAGCACTGTGATAGTTATATGGAGAAGTGGAGTTCTCCTGGCTGACACATATACGGAATGAGAAAGTTAAATTGTTCTGGGATTAGAATCATATCAGTTAATATTTTGCTGAGCCATCGTCAAGTACCTGTTAAAAGTCTGTAAAATGGTCTTACAATTCCCTGATACAGACTTCTAGCAAGATGACCGCTGTGGCTTGGCAAGGGCTGAGCACTGTTTACATCCCCTAGCACCATCCATATGCTGGCACCAGCTATAAAGAATAGCAGGCCAACTCCAGAGTGTCTAAGGGAAGAGAGCCCAGCACAGTTTCCTTTAGAAGTGCACCTCTCCTTTGAATCTTCCATGCAGTATCCCACATACATTTTTCTATCCTTCACAGTTAGGAAATAGTAAATGTGCTGCTTGAATGACAAACTAAAGCTGGCCATACATCCTGCTGACTCAGCCAAAATGTGAGCAGTGTGAGGTCGGCCAATACCCCACCTTTAAACAAAAGTTGTTTATTAAAGGGTTATTAAACCCTCATTTGTTTTTGCATATATCTACTGCTAGCAAGCAGTAGATATATGTAAAACGATTAAAAAAAACAAAAACTTTTTCAAAGGGTTAATACTCACCTGCGTCTCCGCCACGTGCACCCGTCCGAACATCTGAAAATTTATCGGGCGGTCGCAAAGCATCGTGGGGCGGGCGCATGCGCAGTTCAGATGTTCGGCCGGGAGACGAGGAGACACAAGGTAAGTCTATGAAGCAGCGTGCAGAGACTCCGTGGGACATCAGAGAAGAGGAGGAAAGAGGAGTCAGCGCTAGATCGGAGACCCGCACCAGCGCTGGAGGGACAGCTGAAAAGGACAGTAAGGACAGAATAACATGATCGCATTAAGAGGCATTTATTTAAGGTAAGTCCTTACATTATCACCGTGGGGGTAGGGGGGGCAGACTTTTGCCCTTCGTGTCACTTTAATTGACTTTTATCAAAGGTCTGAAAAGTCTCAAACAGTGACTGCAACCAATGAGGCGGGGTGGGGGAATTAAGGGATTTTTTTCTCGTTCAGTGAAGACCATTGTATGGGCAGTATAACAAAGTAGCTGTATTGGATATATCAGATCAAAGAACAATCTCATATAAACCTGCTGATGTCAAGTCCAACAGTGAATGACGAGAAATGGCTTCCTTGCATTTCAGAAACTGTGTTCTTACATAGGAAAAGGTTCAAAGTAGCCATACAATCTTTTATCTTTAAGTCAAATTCAAAGCAGTAATATTATGATTGGTTTGGAAGCAATTACCTGCCACATGCAATCTGTGTGACAATGTTGCCCATGAGCTCAAACACTTTCCTTGGGTTAATTTCATGAGTAGTAGAATTGTGGCCTAGTTGCCCATATCCTCCAGCTCCAAAGGTGAACACGCCACCCTCCTATTCAAAAGAATCAATACCTTACTGACTGTGACCAACATGATAGAACAGATTCTACAAAGACAACAACGCTTTCTCTTTTTATGCCTTCAGCATACAATGCTGATCTAGTAAGCCTGTTGTTTACCGTACCTTAGTAAGTGCAGCAGTGTGGTCTTCTCCACAGCAGATATATACAATCTTATGAGAGCGCAGTGACTTGAGAAGAAATGGAAAATCTCTGTCTGCAATGAAAGACAAGACATGAAATTGTAATCACTATCACAGGATACAGTTTGTAAGGGGGGGGGGGGACCGACTTTGGAATCATGTTAGGCTATCAGTATAACCCATAAAACCAATTTTTACAGTAGACAAGCAAACAAACTGTTTTAATTAACTATGATTAGACCATTTTCAATTCCAGGAGACCATACATTATCCTATGTTGTGGTCTTACAGGGAACCCTGATGGTCAAAAAATGTTAAAGGATGGCCAGGAAGTTGGCACAGCATGCCAAGACTTGTAGTTTCACAACAGGAACAGTGTCTGATGTCTGCCCGAGTGTTTTAAACAGATGGTGAGAGTGTATGAAATTATACTTAATCTCACAAACTAAAGAATACAAGGGAGTACAATCACTAAAGCAAGGTCCACATATTTGCTGAGCCACCCATTAACAATGCTGAACAGTCCAAATCTCATGAGCTGACACTTTACCCAGGTAAGGAGCACCTTGTCATGAGATTTTGGCTACTACGCATTCCCCGGGATCTTGCTGTAAGGTTGACGATGTCAACCCCTGCAGTATGGAAGCCAGGGGTTTAGGCTGGATTTGCCCCTGGGCCAAGGACTAGGGTGGGATAGATGGCAGGGGTGCTTTGTTTGAAATTAACATTGGCCACTAGTGCTCTACGAAAGAAGCCACAGCCTTCTCCCTCTTCAGAATGATCTACCACAACCAAACCATGTGAACAACGCCAAGGGGTCAGGGCTCATATTCCTCACAGGCAGCAGCATAGACAGTTATGGCTCAGGACAGGCTGTAGCTGGCAAGGGTGCACTTTAAGAGCACTTGCACTGATACATACAGTATAAACTGAAGGAAAGTAAAACATTACATGTAACACCCTATAATATAATTGCACGTCTACTCCTAAAAACCCCAGCATGAGGAATATATGTCATGTTATATCCAAGCCATCTTATTAACAGTCATGTGCTATAATAAAGAATGTTATTAAAATATAGCATATAATATATAAATTACCTTTTTCATCATTAAGGCCAAGCTGACCAAATTTGTTCCGCCCCCAGCCAAAAACGGCACCTGAAAGTGTCAGTGCAAAGCTGTGGGCACCTCCAGCAGCAATCTGGTGAAATGGGATCCCTGATAAAGATTTTAAGGGTCTGGGTGCATTTACATTCTTCTGCTCATAGCCCAGACCAAGCTGGCCGTATCGGTTTGCTCCCCAGGCAAAGATTTGACTTTCTGTAGTGCAGACAAAACACAATGTTATATGATACAGGCAAATATCTACAATGTTTACCAAACAAAAGTACAGATGAACATTTACAGATATGACCAATGTTACAGCAAAATCCTGGCAGAAATGTAAAAAAAGGCAATCAATACAGTTATATAGTAAAAACAAATATCACTAAATGTATTTTTAAATGAAAAATAGTGTATCTGAAAAGTAAGTGCCTCAATTTGACTTGATATCAGCCTCTTGCAATCCCCTGTACAGCATAGCTGACAGAGAGAGGAAATGGCATCACTAGGGGCCAAGCAGGAGTACTGCACACATGTGCTGCCAAGAAATATACTGACAGGAGGAAAGAGCAGAGTGATAACCTCATCAGTCTGCTGCTGCTCCTTTACTGTCCACTTATAGCCTGGGTGTAGGGAGATCACCAAGATGTACTGCTCTGAACCTAGCATACAGAACTTTCTGGCCCATTTTGAAGAAGCTTTGGCTAGTTCTAGATAATGTGTGGAAGGTTTTGAGCATCTGTTAGAGTTTTATTTAGTGCAAAATAGAGACACAGACAACAAATATCTGGCAGAAGCTCAAACGTTTCTCACTAAGCGCAAGTTACACTTTAACATGCCATCTTTCATCTAGACCAATTATGTGGGACACAAGTACAATACATCTGCGTGTGGTGGTGTTTTGGTGAACAAGAAAATGAATTATTCAGTGGGTTTAATAAAGAAGGAAGATTGGATAGTTGTGTATAACACATTACCTCTTGAGAGAGCCATTGAGTGATGGAAACCACAGGTCACCTGCACAATCTGGACTTCAGACAAACTTTTTATAGTCCTGGAAGAAACAAAAACGAAATCAGAAATATGTCAAGAGTCCAGCAACAATTGTTTCAAATATTGGAAGTTTAACCCTTTCGCTGCCAAGGACGTACGTCGTACGGAGCTACAAAAGTGCTTCCAGCTGGCCAGCTCAGTACGTCGTACGGACCTGGCATTTACAGTTCTACTATAAGCTCATGGTCGCTTTAGCGAGAACTGTTCAGCAGACTGTCCCCTTTAAATTAATAGCTGTCATCAGCGGCTCACAAGCCGCTGATGACCACTAATTTTAAGAATACCGGGCGCCCCCCGCCGCCGGCATCTGGAGTCTCTCATCCCTCCCTGGAGCCATCCCAGGGAGGGATGAGTGACTCCATGGATCCCCACTGCTTGTAGGGTCTGTGGCAGCGGGGATCCGTAAAAAAATCACCGGCGGGGGGGTCGGGGGGGTCCCGGGAACGAGCGGCGGCTGGCCGCATTTCAGGATGGCTGAGCGTCTTCTGTTCTGAGCCGCTGTCATCCTGTCAGTTTTTGGATGACAGCGGCTCTGTGTAGCGTGGCCGAGCGGGGATCGTTAAATATCAATGATATTTAACGATCCCTCTGTGCAGAGCAAACACCGGAGTGATCGTCTGATCACTCCGGGGTTTGTAAATAACTGTGTACTATGTGTCCCCAGTTGTACTATGTGTCCCCAGTTATGAATGAACAGGCTGCGAT